GTGTGCTCCTGTGTGTTCCTGTGTGTGTGTGTGTGTTTCTGTGTGTGTGCTCCTGTGTGTTCCTGTGTGTGTGTGTCGGTTGCTTGTGCAGATCCGTGGGGAACGGTCCCGTGTCGCTCAGCCGCTGCTCCTGCTGTCAGGTCCGCAGCCCGTCGTCGTGGACCAGCTCGTCTCCAACGCCGCATAGCAACAACATCTGTCCAAGCTCCGCCTACTCCAGTCAAATCGACCTCTGCCTCGGACCGCCGGCCAGCAGCTGGCAGGAGCAGCCGGGAGGTAGACGCCGTTTACACACAGATTTCACTGGACTGAAAGGCTAAGTGAGCAGAAATGAGGAGCATGAACTGATTAGATTTGCAGATTCAGAGGTAGAAAACGTTTTTATCTTTCCGTCATGATTTAATGTTTTTCCATCATCAAAACAAACCTGGTACTTTGATTCTTTCATTCATGTTTGAGAAAGAGTTAAATCTCCATGGCAACCATTCAGGTGTTCAAACGCCTGGGTGGACCTAGCCCCGCCCCCGAGGCTCAGCTCCTCCCCACTCAGCTCCTTCAGACTAGCCAGCAGCAATTAGCAAACACCGGAGCTCATTATAGCAGCTGCTCTTCAGAGCAACGCTGGTAAAAACATTAAAGGGTTAATAGAGGAGCCATGTTGGGACGACTTCCTGGAGGCGGAGCTTCAGAAAGAGCAGAAGTTCTTAAAGAGACAGACGCCCAATTTCAAGACGTTGAATCTGGAAGTAAAATTTCTTTTAAGTCACATTTGATATATGTATTATTTTATAACTGAAGCTAAAAATAGATTGTGCTATAAAATGGCACCATGTGACTGGAAAACGCATAAAACCTTTAGGAGAGAAAGAAGTCTGATTAAAATGCCAGGCACTGAGTAACTGATTCATCTTAACACCTGGTGCAATATTTAAAAATGGTGTCATCAGATGGACACAAATGTTATGTGCAAATTAGTATTTTAAAGACTAAATAATATTAAAATGAATTCAAGCAGGAAAAACTTCTATAAACCCAAACTTCTACATCTCCTTTATCTACTTCTTCTTCTCCTAAAATGAGGAAACCGTAAATGAACCTTGACAGAAGTTTCCTCTGTTTGTCCCAGACTGCAGCGGTTTGATTCAGGGAGCAAAGATGGCGGAAGTGGCGGATTACCTGGAGCAGAGGTGCGACTGCGGCATCTCAGCTCTCTATCTGCAAGGTCAGGGGTCGTCGCTTCCATCCGTTCCTTCTTTTAAAGTCACGGTATTCTGAAAATAAAGTTGTAATATTGTGAAATAAAGTCTAAATGATAAAGTGTGATTAGGTTTGGGTCTCCAGAAGGTCACTCTGCATCTGCAAACTTTCACAGGTGAATTTTTTTGCACTTTAATTGAAATTAATCACATTTTAATCGAAAACCATCTATCAACAAAATAAACATTTACAATTCAGAACCCCTTTTTACATTTATTGTTTTTCATCTGTAATTCTTGTCCTTTAAGCTCCTGAAGTGGCGCAGCTTAACCCAATTCAAGTTCTGTAAAAAAAAAAGAAAATACTTCTGCTTCAATTTGGGCAATAAAATGTTTATTTTCAGATTTTTAAAAATTATTTATTTGCATATTTTAAATGTATTTTTTAGCACTTAACAGAGGAGGATTAAGTGGTTCAATGAGAAATTTGCAGAATTACAGTTTTTTAAAATGAAAAGTTTGTCAGCATAATTGATTAATCGACATAATAATCATCGATTAATCTATTTTTAGAATAATCATCTGTTGCAACCTCACTTGTTATTAAGTTAAAGTTACTAAAAAGTCCAAACAGCCTCTTATATCCTGAACAATCAAAGAGCTTCAGACATAAATTCACTCCGTTCGGGACTGAGGCAAAACGGATCCGTCCAGTTTTGAACTTTTAGCCTCGTTTGGCAGAAAGTCGCAGCTAAGCTCAGATTTCTTCCCGTTTCGTGTTCAAACTCAGTTTGTTCCCCCGTTTTGCTGCAGGCACCAACGTTTCCTGCGTGTCCGGTTGGCTGCGGGTGCAGGGCGACATCCAGGCGTTGTCTGACCACCAGAGGGCGCTCATCATCCAGACGGCCAGCTCGGATTCCTCTGCTGCTCGGGTGGAGGCCTGCTCTCCTCCCAGCACCGGCCGCTACACCGGAGCAGGTCAGGACGGCGAAACTCGGAACGCTGCGCTTATTCACACAAACCGCTGCTAATCGGTTGAATCACTAAATTAGTTCGGCTCCGATTCCACAGAAACACAGTAAACCTGTTATTAGGCAGGAAAATATAGTTTAGCATCAGGATTTTTGTGTGAAAACTCGTGAATATCATCACATTTTATAATAAAATGTGTCCAAACCTGCAGCATGTATGTGCTGTCAAATTTTCCATGAGCAATAATTCCTGAAATATCAAAAAGTTTTTAGTTTTCTTTGAAAAGAAAAAATAATTTGTTGCAAAATCTTCACACTGTTTCTGTTATTTTCATGAACAAATAGATTCTGAAAACCAACCAGAGTAAGTACTCGTAACTGGTTCTGTACTCCTGCACCTCACTTCTTCCTTCCGCTTAACTTTCCATCACCATGCTTGGATACAGCAATCTGTGAGTCGCTAGTTTAAGTTTATAAAAAAAAAACATTCTCCTAAAATTAGAAAAGCCCACAAACCAGAAAAGTTTTTTTAATTGAAAATCTGCACTTTTTCCTTCCCCACAACTTTCCGTCTCTATTCTTGGATACAGTATTCTATGAACTTCCAGTTTATTTAAGCTAATAAAAAAATATATATATTTACCTCATAAATTTAGAACAAAGTCCACAGACTATTCTTCTAAGCGTAAATCTTTGAATCGACTGGAAAGTATTTGTATGTCCTGAAGCTCAATTTTTCCTTCCACACAACTTTCCGTTAATATTCTTAGATAGAGAAATAAACAAGTTCTTTAAGTTTCTGATTTGTTTCCTCACATGTTTAGAACAAAGTCCTTTAAAGTGACTGTTTAATCTGTGAATCTGCTGGAAGTTTCTCAGAGTTTGGTTTGCGTTGCAGCGTCGGCTCTGGGTTTGCAGATCGGACTGATCGTCGCCGTTCTGCTGCTGCTCGGACTCGGAGCGGCTCTGTTCACATACCTCTACAGGAGGAGGTGAGGATCCAATTAATGCCCAATTAATGGTTCTAATGATCTTGTCATTTGGACTTTTTGAGTCCATTTTGTAAAATCTAACACATGGAAGAAAGGGAGAAAAACAAACAGAATAAATCAGTAAATAAAAGAATAAATTAACTGAAGACGACGTTTTGTGATCTTATAAGCAAGTTTTCCATTTCCCCTCCAATAAAATATCAGATTAAACCATCTGCTGCCTGCTTGTTCTTTTTATAAAGAAAATAAGGAAATTAAATTGAAATGTTCCTTTAAAAAATTGACTTTAGCTGCAAAAAAATCAAAGATGATTTCAAAATCCTACATCAACTGATTTTAAAACCTAAAATGTTTGCAACAATTTTTCTTCTGTAGAATTTTATCTAAAAAAAATCTGCAAAATTGTCTTTATTTGTAACGTTGGCAGTGAAAACGTGTTTTATTTGGGTTTTATGTTGCATTCAGAGATAAACTTTAAAGGTCAAAGGTCAGTGACATGCGACGTTTGCTCATCTAGTCTGAGCTGACATTTTTTAATGCAGTTTTTTTATTTTGTTTTTTTTATTTCTAAGGCTGTTTTAAATTTTTATGCTTTTTTTTGTTTTTCTGCCGTTGTTTTTATTTTTATTTTTCTGCTGCTGTGTCTGCAGGCGTCCGTTGGACTACTACACCATGGAGCTGAGCGAACACGCCGAGGGCCTGTCGGATCTATAACCGGCGTGTTCTGAGGCGGTCAGAGGATGTTTTCAGGTATTTGTGAGCGGGGACGCTGCAGGCGGATCTCCGATGGAAAAGACTTTGAGCCGCGCAGCGCAATGCAGCGTTTCTGGCTCCAGATAATAACGTAGTTTTCTAAAGACGGATGTGCGACTCTTTGAAACTGCTGGTTATCGACTGTAAGGGAAATTCAGAAAAAAGAGGGAACGCTTTTTCTTATTACTTGAGTCCTAAATACTCATTTGTTGACTTGTTTGTTCCACTTTTTAAATCAAAGCAACTTTACTTTGGATCATTTTTGCAGGAAGCTCCTAAATAATCCTTGTTCTTAAAAACGGTCTGGTTTTATTTTAGGTCGTTTGTCCCTTAAATGTGAATGGCTTCTAATGGTCGAATGTGCCTGTAACCACTCTGTGTGCTTGCTTAAAGCGAATTGTTTACACTTTCCTAATTGAGAATTTGAAGAAAAATGATCCTAAATGAGGAATGTTGGGAAATTACATTGTTTTTCTCTTGAGAACTGAATCCCTGGTGTTTTTCATTGGGATGCACCGATTGCTCTGCTGATTATCGGAATCGGCCGATAGGAAGGTTTCATGCTGAAGTGGAAATTTCCTTCAAACTTCAATAATTTGAACTTTGATCACAGAGGAATCTTTATGAATCATTCATCTTTTTTGCTTTTTAAATACAAAAATTGGGTGAACAAGTTTTTCGTATTTCTGTTTACAACAAACGGAAAACCCGGAGATATAAACACTCTGCCCAGTAGGGGGCAGACTTCCAGACCGGAACCACAGCTCTCTAAAGCCTATTTATCTCATAGATAGTTTTTTTTATTTTTGAGGATTTTTCTGTCAGGCTAAAGTTTGAGTTGTATGCGGACATCTTCATTGCATTCTGTGGCTAAAGCTAACTAGCTGCTAATATACCTTTTGGGGCTAGCTAGCCAGCTAGCAAGCTTTTTCAAGTATGTAATGGGTACGTGCAAATTTATCAGCAGTTTATCATCTTTTGTACAAGTCTTAAATTTCATTCCCAATGAAATTAAAAAGTCTTAAATTTGAGTTGGTGAAACTGCAACATTTCAAATTTAATTTAAAAATGACTTTATTGATTCATCCGTCCATCCATCCATTTTCTGCTGCTTATCTGGGGTCGGGTTGCAGAGACAGCAGCTTCAGAAGGGAGGCCCAGACTTCCCTCTCCAGCCTCTTCCAGCTCCTCCAGGAACCCCAAGCCGTTCCCAGGCCAGCAGAGAGACATCGTCCCTCAGTGTGTCCTGGGTCTCCCCTCCTCCTGGTGGGACATGAACACCTCACCAGGGAGGCGTCCAGGAGGCATCCTTACCAGATGCCCGAGCCTCAACTGGCTCCTCTCAACGTGGAGGAGCAGCGGCTCTACTCTGAGTCCCTCCTGGATATCTGAGCTTCTCTCTCTAAGGGAGAGCCCAGCCACCCTGCGGAGGAAACCCATTTCGGCCGCTTGTATCCGTGATCTCGTTCTTTCGGTCATGACCCAAAGGTCATGACCTTTATTGGTTGCAAAGGGAAATTAAATAACCTTTATTGTCCTTGTTGAGTCTCAGAAGGACACAATAGTTTCCCTGCATGAAACCTGTTGTTGCTGTTTGAACCAGCAAACCGTTTTAAAGCCACTAATCAAAGTTACAGTATCATCTAAAATCAACTTTTTAATTTTTCCATCATGTTGCAGTTATTCCCTCATCAAAACAAACCTGGAGTGTTGCCTTGATGATTGAGAAATCCTTTAATCTCCATGGCAACCAGTAAGCTGTTCAAAACACCTGGGTGGACCTAGCCCCGCCCCCCTAGCGCAGCTCCTCCCCCTCTTAGCTTGTGTTGAATTACACAGTTAAATTTGATATGTAAAGCATAATAGCAACCGATAACAATATTCAGTTCTTCACATATGTATTTAAATGTTGAATTCAGTCAGAAATTTTGTAGCTTTTGTAGGGAATTCTGGATTATGTAATTCTTAATTTTACAGAAATAAAAAATCGGACCGGCCCAGCAGCTGCAATCGGTGCATTTCTACTCAGAAACTTATCGTCCAATCAGCTGATCTCTTACTTACATGTGCACTACAGCTCTGTCCTCATCTAATGAGATCCTCAGAAATGTTCAATGTTTGCCTGAAAAACTGAAATCTGTGCATTTATTTTATTTCTACTGAAATCTGTTCTGAATGTCTTTAAGGTTCCTCTGAGTTCTGCTGCTTCCTCTGCTAAACCTGGGAAATTATTACAAATCAGGCCACTTCTGCAGCATGCATCCGTCATTATTTTGTGTATAATAGAATATTTTCTGGTAAACTTTATTCTGCTTTTTCATGAAACAGTGGGTGTTGTAAATTATGAACATTTTCTTTTTAAAATGTCAATTATTTTTCTGATTTTCTGCAGATTTGAATTTTTTAATTATTTGTTCATTCAGCCCTAAACGGTCATTATAAGCTGTTGTTTTTCAGACGTTGAATAAATCGACTCCCTGCAGCAGAAAATTTCTCCGTGTCACTAAAAGCACTGGAAATTTTTTTTTTTCATTATCAACACATTAAGTGTTCATTTCCTCTCCAGTGTTTCACATATTAAACTGAAATACTTTCACTTGTTCTGTCGTCTTTTTGTAGCGGTTGGATTTTTCTTCTGAATTGCAGATGCAGGAATTCAGTTCAGAAACTGAAATTAATAAATTATACATTTAAAAAAAATTATTTCCGTTCATTTTGAAGAGTTTAGTTTACTCCTAAGGAAAGCTAAATAAAATGTATTGTTTTGTTACATAATTATTTGTAAAAAAAAAAAAAATAGAGCAAAGACTTTAACATGTTAAATAAATTTTTTTTGTTAGGGTTGCATTTTTTTAAAGTTTTTTTTTTTTTTTTTTGCGTTTTTTTTTGCGTTTTTTGCGTTTTTTTTTTTTTTGCGTTTCCGGTACAGCTGTTAATCTGATGCACAAGTGACAACTGCTAACTCAAAATCAACAGATCCTCACATTTTTTGTGCTAATATAAAAAGTATAATTGAATATTTTATGCTAAACTCTATTCTGCGTTTTCATGAAAATGTCAATGTTGTAAATTATGAATACAATATATTTTTTCCTGCATATATATATTTTTTAAAATTTCATTTGAATTTTTAAAATGTGTTGAGTCCTAAAACCTCCGCTTTGCGTCATGGCGGCTCTGAGCTGCGGTTTCGCGCCGGCTGTAGCCGGGTAACATGCAGCTGAAGCGCGGTTAAGCTCTGGGATCGTGTCGTGAGGCCTGAGCAGATACAAAGCGTGTTTTCTCTCTCTCTAGTTTCACGGTTGAACCTGCTCTCACCGCAGCACAGGAAGCCAGAGAGACAGGAAGATGCTGCAGAGCTGCTGACTTTACCCTGAGCTGCTGCTGCTCAATTCAGACGTTTTCAAAGTTTCTGCTGTTTGTGTTTCATGGAGTTTCTGCTTGAAGGATCAGGATTCTCCTCACATTTCCAGGAAACTTGATTAAAGTCATGGTGAGTCACTCAGTTTTTGGCCTAAACGTTTCTGTACCGTTTGTTTTAACGATGACGTGCATGGTGCAATGGCCTCCCTCTGCAAAAACGCTAAACTATTTTTGGTCTAGTTTCTACTGCAAGCATCTTATTACACTTTTAATAAGACTAAACTAACTTAAAGTAACTTTTCATCAAGATAGAGGAACTTGTTTTAAGTCAATAGTTAATACTGATGAAAAAGTAACATGGGAAAATGTATTGCTATAAAATAATCTGCCAATGGATCAATACTTTTTTAAAATCAATATTAATGAATTATTGACTTGAAACAAGCTCCTATATCTTGCTGGTTTGTTTTAAGTTAGCTTTGTTGCACTTAAAGTGTGCTAATATATTTGCAGTAGAAACTAAACAAAAATACTTTGGTAGATTTACTTTTGCATTTTAAAATACTGAACAAAACTCTGGTAGATTTCCCGACAAGCTTAGAACAGAGTTAAATAAACGGACACACTGCAAAAAAACTAAATCTTACCAACTGGTTCTGGTCCAAATATCTCGGTACACTTTAAAATATAACTTGCAGGTAATTTTTCAGCAGGTTATATGAGCTTGTTTAGAGTCAATAAATCATTAATATTAATAGAAATAGAAAAGCACTAGTTCACTCATAGTAAGATATTTTTCCCATTTTATCAATATTAAGAAATTGTTGACTCTAAACAAGCTCCTATATTTTGCAAAATAAAAAGTTACTTTTTAGTTTTGTCTTATTTCAGATGTACGGAGATGTTTGCACTAGAAACTGGACCAACACCACTTGGTAGGATTTAGAGTTTTGCAGTGTATTTCCCCTCCTACTGTTTTTCTCTCTTCTTTTCTTGACTTGTCTGTTATTTTTTCTTGATTTCTGTTTGAATTTCAGCCGTCTAGAGGAGCCGAAGCCGTTTCCTTCTTGTCTTAAACTTTGACTCTTTCTTTGGTTTCCTTTTGTGTGATGATTCTGATGAGCAAAGAACCACAGAGGAAGGTCTGCTGAGAAAACCTCAAACACTATAAAACACTGTAATCCTCTGTTTTATTAACGTACTGCTTTATTTCAGTAAAACGGTGCATTTTACACACAGCACAACAGTGTGAATACTGTGAAACGTGACAGTTTTATGGTGTTTATTAGCATGTAACGGCGGCGCTTGGCGGCTGGATTTTACAGTGAGGAAGACGAGATGAGGCAGAGCGTCAGCTTGCCATCAAAACGAAAACCAGCAGTTTTAGAGCCCTCAATATTTTTTCTTTTATCTCCAGCTTCACACGCTTCAGTCCAGTTTACAGCAGATCATGTCAGTCAAAACAAGAGGAGGGAGAATCTCTCCTTCATCTGAACCACCTGGCTGTTAAGGGATTGGCTCCCAATTAGAGGCGTGGAGACATTCACATTTCTAGAAAGAAATAACAAACATTTGTACTAAACTATTCCTAAAAAAAATGTCTACACAGTTACATTTAACTCAAACAAAACTAGAAACAAAAAAACTGATCTGGATCCAAATAAAATCAAAAGTCCATCTCTCCTCCCTCTCAGAAAATGGATTTTCCCAGTGAGGCTGATTGAAAACAGCAGGTCCTTGTCACCATGGCAACACATGGCCAGGTGACCTCAAAGAGATGAGATGATTAAAACAAGTAAATAAATCAAGTTACTTCCTCAAACACAATACATTTACCCAAATAAATTAGAATATATAAAGTACAGAAACGGCTCCTGTTAGGGCGAGTCCCTCAGAGTCGGGTGGAAACAGCAGTGAATTTATTCTCACAGCATCAAATCAGCTCAGGCTGTGACGAACCAAACCGCCTCCAATTCACAGGGGGATCTCAGTTCACCCACCTCCACCTATTTAAATAAAATACCTTTTACTAAATACAAACATTTCCATTTACTTTTTATAAATATTTTATGTTTTATCTTGCACCAAATGAAACGCCACAAAAACCCATAAACGATTCTTCTCCCTCATGTGGAAGTATTTGTCCAAACACCCTGGAGAGGAAACAGAACAAACTGGTGAGTCACTTCATATTAGCACTCCACACTTAACAGATTATGCACAAACACTTGCTCAGTTTTCCCACCAGTAACATTTATCCTCCCTTCACAGGGAACCAGCTCACTTCTCAATGAGGAGCAGCTGCAGAGCCCAGAACAAAAGGCTACATGCTAATTACTAAAAATACTCAATACAATTCAAACTTCTCGTGTGCAAATTGTTATTTATGTGCAAAGCTCTGCTTAAAGTGCAGTGCTAAATAAAGTTCTTGTTAATAAAATGCAAAAAGTGTGTTAGAAGTGCGATGTGACTTGAGTAAAAATAGTCCCAGTAATGAAAGTCTCTTCATTACGTGCAGCTTGGCAAGACAAAGTGCAGGGGATCGAACTGGTGACCTGTAAGGTTATTAGTTCCTGTAATTTTGATTATTCTGGTTCAGAGAATGAAAACAGACCATTTAGTATTAAGATCAATAAAAAAATGATAATTTAAGCAGAAATGTCAAAAGAGTAAAATAATGTTTGGTAATGATGGTAATAATTTAATATTTAAACATTTCATCATCTAACAGAGCAAAATATAAAGTTACGTGGAAATGTTGGCATTTTAAGGATGATAATTATTCACAGAATTGAAAAATAATATCAAGCAAACAAAATCTAACTTAATTTCTTCTGATAAAAACCTTAACAAAAACTGAAGGTGTGATTTTTTGATTAAAGTCAACATTTTAATGGAGTATCTGGAATTTTACTCAAGTAAAAATAAAAAGTACAGCGTAGTAAAAATATTTTTAAAAGTAATTTTTTTCCAAAAACTTACAGAAGTAAATGTTACTGAGTGTTGCAATAAATTCTGCTGGACCAGATCAGAATCAACGGAGCAAAATTCAGCAACACATACAAACCACTCGATTATTTAGATAAAGTATTTTTAGACGACCTTTCGTTGCCAGTGAGTTAATTTCATGGCGGAAGCAAAAACCACGAAGGAGGGAAATGAGAAATGATAAGACTCAGAGTTTCATCCTTAGCTTTGTTTATTCTTTGTTCTGGCTTATACTTTTATTTATTTTATTATTTATTCTGTTTTTCTTTGCTTTCTTTTCTCCCTCCCTTCTTTACTTTTTCCCAAATATCTGATGCTAAATTAATTAAAGAACAAAGAAATAATTCAAATTAGAAAATAACTGCCACGATTAAAAGAAAAACTTTATCCTAATTAACATGTTAATTTCATTTTGTTGTGACAGTTGACCACGTCCTGTATTTTGTTTTTGATCCTTTTTAACGTATTCCTACTTGTTTGTTTGTTTTTTGTTTGGTTATTTTATTTCTGTTACTGTTTTTCGTTCTATTATCTGGATAATTATTTTGTAGATCAAAACCTCTTTTTGTTTTTTGTCACTCTATAATGTTTGTTGTATAAACACCTGCTGGTGAATAATAAATGTATAATAAATAAATAAATTCTGCTGGACGATAAATTGTCCCAGAAGTTATCACTATAAGTGATATTATTGTTGTTTTGGGACAATTTTCAATTAATAAACTTTAAATGAACATTTAACACTGGAACTGGAAAACATTTTAAATATCCAAAATAAGTAAAAACAACAAATAAAACAAATTATAAAGTCTCTGAAAGCACAATTATCCTTCAAAATAAGAGCTGGTTGAGGCCAAAATACCAGACTGGAGACTTTTATCATCCAGTTTTTGGTAGAAAGAGAAGAAATATTAATCATAAAAATGGAAATTATTTAGTTATTATCTAACAACCTGCTGGGTAACAGCAGCAGTTTCAGGTTTTGCCTCAAAACTTCCTAAAATAATAATAAAAAAATGGTGTGGAGACAAAACTGGATAAATCAGGAAAGATCAGACCACCAGCTCATAAAAAAACTAATCAATAATTATCGACATCGACTGATATGAAACTGAACAAAATGTTCGACTCGATGATCTTTACTCACAGACGATCTTTGAGGTATGTTTGGTTACCCCTAGCAACGGCAACACGGCAAAACCGACGCCTCGTTTCCATGGCAACGGTCTGACAGCTTGGCCGCGTATGAAGCCGCAGGACCGAGAAACCTGAATCAGCATTACCTCAGAGAGAAACGAGGTCAAGCATCAGGAATATTTAGAACGACGCTTCGCAACTTCCTGCAGCTCAGCCCAGAAAAACGATGATCTGCAGAGTTCATGAAGGTTTGGAGCAAAATAAAAACAATAAAAACAGAATTAAAAAACTATAAAAACAATTAAAAACTGAATTAAAAAACTATAAAAACAATTAAAAACTGAATAAAAAAACTATAAAAACAGAGTAAAAACCATTCAGCTCTGCTCACTAGGAAATGTGTTGCTGGACCGACATCTAGTTAATTTTCTATTTGGAAAAGTTGTGATTAGTTTTATAACTTTTAGACCCAACATTAATCAAGAATTTAAAAATCACATATCAGTTTTTTTCTGCTGTGTCTGTTTATCATATTTATGCATTTTTTAAATTATTTTGTATAAACTTATAAAGTTTCTACACATTTTTGCAAGACAATCAGATTTTTCAAAGAATCAAGTTGGATTGTTATTTTTAATTTTACGTTTCTCTGTTTTCTGTCTTTTATTATTACTTTTTAATATTGTTTTCTATTTTATCGTCTTTCTATATGTTTCTTTTTCTTCTTTTTTGGATTTGTATTCTACATTTTTTTTCTTTATTTTGTTTTTCTGTCTTGTTTTTAGATTTTATTGTTTTTCTTTGTTCTCTTTTCTGTTTGCTTTTTATTTATTTTTTGTTAATTCTTTTTCTTTTTTTCTTTTTATCTTTCTTACATTTTTCTATTACTGACTTTTTCTTAGTTTTTCTGTTTTCTTTTTATTCATTAATTACATTTCTCCTTTTGTTGTTTTTCTTAGAATAGTTTTGATTAGTTTTTCTAAGAGTAAAGTTTATTTCCTTGAACATATTTATTAGCTCTGTAGGCCTTCCGTTCTCAGGCTGTTCCTGTTTCATATTTCAGACAGTTAAATACGGTTTTCTTGTGTTATATACGGTTTTATTGTGTTATATACGGTTTTCTTGTGTTATATACGGTTTTATTGTGTCTCATGGTGGATTCCTCGCAGCAGCAGCGGCTCTGAGCGTGTCAGGCTTCCTCCTGCTGTGATGGACAGGAAGCAGCACTACGACTCGCTCATGGATCGCAGCAAACGCATCATGTGGCAGGACGACTGCTACCTGGACCTGCAGTCCACTTCCTGCTGCGCCGCCGCGCACACAGAGACGCAGCGTAAGAACCTCATTGTCACTGCCGGCTGCCGTCTTTATTTTATTATTAACCAGAAGCAAATGAAACCTGGAGATAAAACAGAAGTGACTTTATATCAACTAGAAACTTTTATTTATTATGAAAACAAATGAACTCTCTGAGGTTTTTTGTTCTGATTCAGTTTGAATAATCTCATCAGATTTTATAGTTTATTAAGGACCGTTTATTTTATTTAATATCTATAATAAAACAGTAAAGAAAACAAAACCTTTACTGTTGGATCTCACGACGGAACAGAAAGTTTATAGTTTAATTAGAGACAAAAAGTCGACTTTTATTTAGAAAAATATCAGGATTTATTTTGGTTCTTACTGAAATGGATTTAAAGGTTTCACAGTAATCTCTCTCTCTGGATTCAGAAATTAATCTTTAATGTGAATAAAACATTTTATGGATTATCAGAAGCATCAACAAAGTGATTCTGCATCATGTTGTTAAAATGGAGTCTGATAAATATTAGATTTTTCTGTAGATATTAAGTCAGTGAAAGTAGAACATTAAATATATATATTGACTGACATATTGAAATAATATTGGGTGGATATTTTTCTTCCTTTTGTCAAAGAAAATTTTGTCAGATTTGGAAAAAAGATCTAAAAAAAAAAAAAAAAACAAAAAAAAAAAACTTTTTTGGATTTTTGTCACATTTAAAACTTCAGTCCATGAAATATAATATTATAACAAACTAAAACAACCTGAGAAAATATAAAATATTGTCATGAGAGGTGGTGAAGTTGATGCCACAGACAGTTTATGGAGAAAACGATGAAAACGACAAATACAAAAATCCTGGCAGCACAAAAGAGCAGAGAGGCTCAAGTCTGGTAGCAAAAACAGCTTAAGACCCGAACAGAACCAGAACCAGAACCAGAGTCCGACCCGACCAGAACCAGACCAGAACCAGAACCCGACTCGACCAGGAGCAGGAACACAGGTGGGATGAGGATAATCAGGGAAACGTGACACAGCTGGGAGCAATCAAGGGGAAGACGGGACAACACGGAGACTCAGTAGACACAGAAACCAAAATAAACACAGAGAAAACCCAAATCCTCACGAATAGAACTTTTAAATGATGTAAAAAGGCTCAAACAAAACCTGAATCCCCTCGTTAAATCATAATAACCTCAATGATGTAAGAAATCATCCATTTTCTGTCCCTGTTTATCCCTTTAACTATGCAAAACAATTACAGAAAAGTATTCCTGTAAAGCACTTTGTATTGCCATGTTGCTGAAAATGTGCTACATAAATAAAATTACCTTTTCCTTAAATAGACGAGCTAATATTTCATTTAGCATTTTATGCTAACTTTGAAAACGTTTAGAGCTCTTAGCTTCTCTTAAATTAATTTTAAGTTGAATAAAGTTTGACATCTGTGTTGAGGTTTTGATTAGCAATTGTTAGAAATCCTCATGCTCTTATTTTGAAAGGGGTGAAGACTGCACAGCAGTTCCGTTTCCTCTTCTCACGTGCTCTTCGATTCTTTTTCTTTATAACTTCATTGAAAGAATTGTAATCAATAAAAAAACACAGTCATACATTTATGTAACAGTTAGCAAAACTCAAAACCTATAAACTGAAACCGTGAGTCAAAGATCTGTTCAAAAGAATCACTTCCTGAAGCCGTTCATGTGTAATAGCGAACGTGACCCAGTTGAGGGCGATATGTTGTTCAATTATTGGCAAATTGTGGATATTTAGTGCTTTAGCATTATCTTCTGCTAGATAGCATGTTGTTGTAGCGCTTTAGCATCTAGCGCTTTAGAGTTAGCATGACTAGCTTTTTAATTAGCGATTCCCACGATGGCTAAAAGATTTGAACAGTTTTGCGAGGTGGTTTTCAGCGTTCATTAGAAGGTATTTAGCTTGATCAGTTTTTACCATTTCAGAGTTTCTGACAGGCTTTACAGTGAACTAAGTCGGTGTTTTGTTTTTGCTTTAGAGCTTCATTGGATCCAGAAGCACAAAGACCAGCTGCTGAGCTTCGTCTCACATTCCTTCCTGGAGGAAATACTTCAGCACCTCAGAAACGTGAACGTCTTGACGTCAGCTGAAGAGACGAGCATTAAGGCAGCGGGCCAGCTGCAGGACCAGGTCAATATGCTCACCTCCATCGCCGCTGCAAAGGAGAGCCAGAGCTCGGACGCGCTGCAGGCCTTCATAGAGAGCTCAGACTCAGAGGTGGCCCAGCTCATCTTAAGCTACGGTACGAGGCTTTCTGGAAGGATCGCTTCCTTTAACGTCTTATTACAGTTTTTCTCAGTCGCTTTGGTGCGATTCTTCAGTCATTTTCAACATTAGCAAAACTGAGTTCCTCAAAACAATTTATACAAATTACCAGAAAAACCCAGTTTGCTTCTCTGAATTAAAAATCTGCCAATGAACATTTCAGTTCCTCAGAATGACAAGTGTTTGGATCAGACAGTCCATTTGATTAGTCATGCTGACAGTAAAGCGGAAACTGAAGGTAAACGATGGCTAAAGTCTAGTTGACTGTTATAAGTTGTTACTTTTTTACTGTAATTTGTGATGCAGAAAGGAAAAGACTCTGTATTGTTGCCAGTTGGTTGTTCATGGTACCTCTGAGCCATTTCAGAAAACCGGTTCATCTAAAATGCTTCACAAAATGTCCTGCGGTCACATGGGAGCAACGCACCAGTTCAGGACTGATGGAGAGAAAAGTCTGACGGAAATGTACAGAAACATGACTGGCATGTTGTGACAACTTGTCCAAACATTTTGCATGTTAGGACTTATGCAACAATCTTGTGCTTAAATGATGTGGAGGTTGAAACAATTGAGCAACTGAAATGTAGGAGAAAGCAGAGAATTGTACATAATCACTTGGATAATGTAGAAAAGCTTCTGCAAGTTTATCAAAGGAATAAGAAAGTGCTTTTTTGTGATGCAATGATTTGAAGATTGAGCAAGTAGTTTTGAGAATTGCACCAAAGAGGCTGAGAAGTGTGTAATGAAAAATGTTTGCTCTTGGATCCTTCCTCCTTAGACGCCACGGTGAAGAAGCACAAAGAGGTGCTGCTGCAGCAATATGAGAAGCAGAGAGACAGAGACTCAGTCAGCTGCCCCAAACTGAACATCTCCTCAAGGAGTTTACTGATGGTGGATGGACTCTCCGACTTCCAGCAAAAGGAGCACGATCTGATGCAGGTGGGAGTGACTCGAGGAGGGAGGAGGAACCATCTGAGGCAGCTGGGCCTCGCCAAGCTCTTTGAGCCCCTCACAAGGGTCAGCTTGCCTCCCAGGGTGACGCTCACAGTCGGAGTGGCTGGTATTGGCAAGACAACCTGGGTGAGACACTTCATCAGACAATGGTGCCACGGGACCATGTGTCCGGATATACACTTTGTCTTGCCCTTCACGTTGTGCGAGCTCAACGGTCTGGAGAAACTTTCTGCAGAGAGGCTGTTGAAAATGACTTTCCCACATCTGCCGGCACCCGGTTTGGTCCTAAACGACGCCTGCAGGACGCTGCTCATCTTCGACGGTTTGGACGAATTTCGCAGCACTTTGAATTTCTCTGACGCGGCTCCTTGCAACGACCCGAAGAAGGAAGTTTCCATTGACGACCTGGTGACGAACATCATCCGAGGGAATCTGCTCCCAGACGTATCGGTGTGGGTGACGTCGAGGCCAGGAGTCGCCTCCCTGATCCCGGGCGGATTGGTGGACCGGGTCACGGAGATCCCAGGGTTCAGCCCAGCGGACATCCAGGTCTTTCTGAACCACCACTTCTCCGAGAACGACTTCGCCACCAGAATATGGGCACACTTGGAGGCCCATAAGATCCTAATGGTGATGTGCTACATACCATGCATTTGCTGGATGCTAGCAGAGACGTTGCTGTACATCATGCAGAGCGGGACACAGGAGAGCCTGCCTAAGACCTGCACTGAGCTGTACGCCCATTTCTGCTCCATGAAAGCAGAAGTAGGGGAACCAAGAGGCAGGGAGCCTGTAAAGTCTGAGCAGCATCATGCGACCAACCGCAAACTGCTGGGCAACCTGGGACGCCTGGCCTTCTACAGCCTCCTGAAGCACAAGTACACGTTCAGCGAGCAGGACCTCAGGGCCTACGGGATAGACTTACTGCAAACTCAGTGCAGCCTTGGAGTTGGAGTTCTGGTCCGGACGGAGTCCACCATACACACCACTTACAGATTTACTCACCTGACCCTGCAGGAGTTTCTTGCAGCTACGTTTTATCATGTTTCCTCCAAGCGGGCCATCTTTGACCTGTTCTCAGAGAGCACCATGTCCTGGCCCAAGATTGGGTTCCAGAACCACTTCAGAAGCGCCTTCCAACACTCGCAGCAAGCCGAAGACGGCCACCTGGATCTGTTTGTGCGCTTCCTGACAGGCTTGCTGTGCCCAACAACGATGAAACCTCTGGCTGGGCTCCTGGCTCTCGGGAAAGACGATGGCAGCCAGAAGGTTTGGGCTGGCGGGTTTTTACACAGCCTCCTGTCCAGCGTGGGTTCGGTGGTGTCCCTCCGAGCCGTCAACCTGGCCTACTGCTTACAAGAGCTGCAACACGGCGAGCTGCTCCGGAGCGTAGAGGAGGACCTGCGGCAGGGCAGCTTGGCTGGAAAACTGACGCGGCCGCACTGCGTGGTGCTGGGCTTCCTGCTGCACGTCTCTCCAGAGTGCAGTGAACAAACCAACCTGACAGGATGTCTGAACTACCCAACGGTGAAAAGTTTACTCCCACAGCTGCTGTACTGCACCCATCTCAGGTCAGTTCTGACATCACAGAAAACCTGTCGGACACATTTCTGACAAAAAAAACACTATTTAAATATGTGACAAACCACCTCATCCTGACGTGAAAACCTTTAGAAATGGCCTCGGTTTCCAATTAGCACATTTGTTTTCGTAATTCCAGTCTGCGCAGTTTCACAGTGAATGTTTTCTGTCGAACAGGCTGGAGAATAATAACTTCAAGGACGATGTCATGGAGCTGCTCGGGAGCCTCCTGAGCGCCAAAGACTGCCACATCCGGAAAATAAGGTTGGACCAAACCTGGACAAGTTTTCACTGCAGGAGCCAGAAAGTCACCTGCCTGAACATCTCTGCTAAACACACACCTGCCTGAACATCTCTGCTAAACACACACCTGTCTGATTATCAGACACGAATAAATGCAGCTTGTTTTGTTCTTGCCCTCAGTTTGGCCGACAATGTCATCAGCAACAAAGGAGCCAAAGCTCTGAGCCGAGCCCTGCTGGTGAACCGAACCCTGACCGCCATCAAGTGAGACTTTTATCGATGCTTCAGGAACAATCATTCTGTCATGGAGGAACCCAAACCTGTTCGGTTTTAAATCTGTTATTGAAGTGATGGAAAAAATGTGTCTTTATTGGTAAAACTCCAGTATATTAGAGGATATTTATATGAACAAATATCCATACAGCTTGAAGGGTTTTTATTTTACAATTTGCTAAACATAAACTGCAAATATCAATTTATTTTATTACTATTTTACTAAATAAAAGACAATTCATACCCCAAGGATATTTTGTTTTATTCTTGCCAACAATTTTCTCCTGAAATAAGTTAATTTTAATGTTTTTAAGTGGCTCAGTCAAAGTTAGAGAATCCCTTTGTGGAAGCAGTTAAAGATGAAAGTGATGAAAAGAGTCGAGATAAAACATGGAAAAGATTCTCAGTAGCTTAAAAACAGGATTTTAATAATATTATAGCAGTAAAAATGTTTTGATTGATTATAAATGCGATAAATAACTTTAGACATATCATAGTTTAATATAATATATTAGAATATTTACATTGTTTTTGTATCTTTTATGAGATTTTTGTCTTTTTGTCCAATTAGAAACGAACGTTTTCGTTAAATAAAAACCGTTTTAAATGTCCAAACTGTGAATCAGTTTGGGTTTAACTGCAAGCAGCACATAATTATGAGGTGATTTTAGGATAAAGGCTTTTAATTTGTTTCTGGATGAGAGAGCCGTGGATCTGCATCCGTCCTCTTTCAGTCTGATACCCATAACTTTACTTTATTTTAAATTCAGCTTAAAGAACAACAGCATTGGATCAAAAGGGGCAAAGTTTCTGGCAGAGGCTCTGAAAATGAACCAAGCCTTGGTATCAATCAAGTGAGTATAACTGTGAAAGGTTTTTCTACATTTACACTTTTAAATGTTCCGTGTTTGTAACTTTGCTTCCGTCGTCAGCCTGCAGAATAACTCCATCGGGGAAGAAGGAGCTCAGGGCATCGCAGACGTCCTGCAGTCCAACCGCAAACTCGTGTCTCTGAAGTCAGTTTCGTCCTGCTGACGGTTTATTTCTGGTAGTTTTCATGTGAAATGTGCAGCATGTTCTCTTTCTGATTTGCTTTTTCAGCATGCGGAAAAATACAATTGGCGCAGGAGGAGCCAAGAGGATCGCAGAGGCGCTGAAGACAAACCGAACTCTTACAAAGTTGATGTAAGCAGCTAATATTTTTAATTTCACTCATTTTAATTTATTTATTCATCCTGAGCCACCAAGTTTTCATCCAGACATCACTACATGAATGTCAGTAAACTCTGCAGCCTGTTAAATATGACAATTGATACTTTAACTTAGATATATTCGTTAATAAAATAACTTTTCTAATCACCGAATGTAGCAGAAGCTAATGCTAACGCACTAAATTCAATCAAATCTATCAAAACCAGACAGGTAACTGCTGTTGTCATCCAGCTCTAATCGAACATTTTACTGAAAGAAACAAGAGGAAAAATATTCAAATTGATTAAATCTGAGGCTAAAACTGTTGACACTTTAATTACATTTATTCCATAAACAGCCTGCATTTGTTATTATGTTTGCAATTTGGTTTGAGTGGAGGGCACCGCTAACTGGCTATGCTAACCCTAAAGTACTGAGCATAAACAGTAGCTAACGCGCTATAGCAACACGGTATGTATCGGAAGCTAATGCTAACGCGCTATAGCAACACGGTATGTATCGGAAGCTAATGCTAACGCGCTATAGCAACACGGTATGAATCGGAAGCTAATGCTAACGCGCTATAGCAA